TGATATACTGTCAGTATCTTTCTTACTTTTTCTCTGACAAAGTTACTTTCTCCCTGATGAAAGAACGCGCCAGGCCCACATGCATACTTGTCAAACATTTTATTTGTCATTCACACTAATTATGATACTGAATTTACAGAGGAAACTGTGGTACAAAGAAAGAAAGAAAGAAAGAAAGAAAGGTCTTCATTAGAACTAACGCAGCAGTCCAGCTGCTCTGCGTGCTAGCTGTAATGAACTCTCCCGTGGCGCTGGACACAGGCACCGCTATGTACAGCAAGAGTCTACTCTGATGTGGTATCCAGAGACTTCCTGTAGTGGGGGAAAAATCTACTCTTTTTTTTTTCCTATTTGGTTCCAGAAGACAGCAGCCTTCCCCTTATCCCTCCCCACTCCCCCCACAAAAGAAAAAAAAAACTGTAACCAAAACCAAAAAAGCAAACCTCCAGAACTTGATAGTTTCCCCTTCTGGAAATGTTCAGCATGACAGTGTCAAAGGAAAATGTTCCAGTATGTTGCAGCATCTGTTTTGTAAACATATCCAGTGAATGCTGAACAAATACGCTTTGATGCCATTCTGATAGGAGTGTGTTTCCCACTGGCTCCTCCTCTCAGACTTACCAAACTGCCACCTCAGACTGAAAATTTAGCTTTTGTTTGAGAGAGAGATAAAACTATCATATCCAGAATACCACAAATAACCCACAGATTTTTGCACATTCGTTTCTCCCCTACCACAAAAAAGTGATGAGTGTTGAATAGAGACCATGCTATAACTGTTTACAAAAGTGAATAAAATGTAGTTAATCTTGAAGCCTAAAATAACTAATCTGGAAAGAAATAAGTCTCACTACAGTATTTAAGCAAACACAAAGGTAAGTTCATTAAAAACACAGAAAAATGAAAAAAAATGCGGAGTAATTACAAGCACTAACAATATTTTGCTATGAAGCTTTTGAAATCTATTTACATACATAAATACAAGTAACTCTGTTGATGCAACCCTTTAAAGACAAGGAGAGAAGATGCCAAGTGATTGGTACTGACCAAGCAAGGTTAAAAAAAATAATAGAATGTTTTGATGCAGGAAACCAAGAAAGTGTCTTGCTCAACTAGAAAATGATCCACTTATCCTGAATCTTCAAATACCCCAAAGGAAAAGGTCATCCAGAAAGCAGTAATGAATGTTTCAAGAGTGCAAGCAACTCGGAACACTCTGACAAAGACTATGGGCCATGTGGAGGAAACCGTTTTTCTCCCTTCCAGATGACAATTTGGCATAATTTTCCAAATAAAATTCTTTGGAGCAGTGATGCACTCTGGATTTGGCTCCCCATAGCACTGAAGCCCCTTTGCGTTGCTCTGGCGGTGTGACAGGAACTCTTGAAGGGAGTAAAGTAATGGGCCTCGAACAAGTGAACACCGGGCCCTATCTATTTGTATTACACGATTGATAAGGCTGCACCTGGACAAGAAGTTGTGCCCTGAGAAAGGAACACACAAGCTGAGAGCAAGGGCTGTGATTAACTCGATTTCGGGAGAGGAGGGAATCCAAGGCACTCGGCTGAATGCAAGTCGTGAAGAGAAACGCAACAGTATTTTTGGATTCCATTTAGCAACTGGGATGATAAACCTATATATGAATATATATCTCTGTGTGTATATAAATACATATACACACATTATAGAAATATATGTATGCACACTCTAATTTGGAGATGCGTCCATGGGGCAAAACGTTTTACCCAAACGCTCTCTTTCTGCCGGCTAAGTGTTTTTGGATATGAGAGGAATGACATAAAAGCATTTTTACAGGGCATGGCTTCAAAAATATAGGTTAGTGCAAACTGTGGTTTCTCATAAAGACTTGTGTGAACACACTAATCCACAGTGATTAAACAGACTAATTGCAAGGGATAATAAACTTAGATTTTCCTCTGTAAAGAGGTTGCTGCTTTGGTCTTCTATGCTTGACATTCACCAAGAAGTTAGCCTCAAAAAAAAAAAGAGTTTGCTAGCAATTATCACAAACAAGTCACTGAGAAATCCCCGGTTTTTGTTACATGTCAGTAAAGACACAAGGTAAGTGTGGGTAATAATTCCGTAATTTCTGACACACTTCACACTAGGGAGTATAGAACTGAACCTCATCTTTAAGGCAAACGTGAAGGCAGTGCACATGTAGACGTAGGAAACGCTAAATGTTACACAATCATCCCCGGGCCGAGGGATGCCACTTCTCCACCCCTGCGGACCGCTGCTTTCCAGAGAGGACGGCAGGAAGCCACGGGCTCAGGGGAACCAAGGGGCTCAGGGGAACCAAGGGGCTCAGGGGAACCAAGGGCTTTCACAGAGACGAGCAGCTCAGGGGAACCAAGGGGCTCAGGGGAACCAAGGGGCTCAGGGGAACCAAGGGCTTTCACAGAGACGAGCAGCGAAGGAGCCATGCGGCCTCCCGGCTCCCGCGAGGCCGAAGCCCCCGGCCACCGGCGGGCCCCTCCCCTCCCCGAAGGCAGCTGTGCCAAACGCTGGCGTTAACTGCACAGCTGGGGGAAATGGTGGTTTTTAACTGCACAGCTGTGGGAAATGGTGGTTTTTAACTGAACTGCACAGCGACAGTTTAGGTCCAGCAACAGAGCTACTGTTTAGAGATGAAGGACTTTTTTCAGGCTACTGAAGAGGTGAGATACCAACTAGGTAAAACATCACAGCAGGTGGGGTGTCCGTATTTCCATACTCAGCAAGGTCTCTGTATTTCCAAATACACTTTTAACTGTTCTGATATAATCTTGGATGCCTTCTGCCTTTTTTATTCAGAGCATACTCTCGAAAAGGATAAATAATACTATGCTAAATTAAAAACACAAGGCCATGTATGTATTTTAGCAGAACCATTTTGAGCTTTTGCTGAGATCTCTTGAAACATTCCCTACTTTCTGCAAAAAAGTGACCTTATTGACAAAGTAGGATTCTTCAATTTGTAACTTTTCCATACCAAAGTGCTACTGCATCTGACTTAAACAAAGAAGCAAAAGCATATAAAAAAAAAAGAAAACTTGAAAAACAAATGGTTTTAAATAAGTCCAGCTGTTTTGCTGCCTGCAGCCAAGGATCTTTTTAATTTGAATCCTTTAAATTTTTTTTAACATCAAACACTGATCTGAAGTCCTGCTTTCAAATACTCTCTGAGTTGACCTGCAATTGTTTCACCCATTTAAGAGGTACATTAAATAACAATCAGATCATTTGGAACGCACACGTGTCAACATCAGCAGTTTGCAATTAATGAGTAGTACAACAACTGCCTTCAGACCAAACCCTCAAATAAAATAGTGCCATAAACTTTACAGTGACATCTGATATGTTTGTGCTGTAACGATGGGCAACAGTGACGACTCTGTATGGACATGCTGTTAGTATAAGCACTGCATATTTGCAAGAAGACAGAAAAAAAATGTGCACCAGTTTTAAATACCCTTCTTCTTCCCTCCGAACGTGGCGACTGTGGAACCATTAAGGCCACTTCCCTGCTAGCCTGCTTTCCAGATGAGTTTGACAACCCTGTGCGGTCCTGTTTATTTTGCAATGCATGAAATTAATCTCTTTTCCAGTAAGCTGGAACATGGCTTTTCTACTGTGCAGAAATCTTGGCTCCATTTAGCCAGGAGCAAATCTCACACTGATTCCACCAGAGCCAGAATTTCACCCTGGCCACACTAACTGAATAGGTTTTGCCTTCGAAATGGTATCTACATCTAACCTTATTACTAATCCTGAGAGTTGCCACTGGTGTCGAAGGAAAGTCGGTAAGTGTCAGGGAGACATGACTCCACTGGATGGGAAGGTACAGAAATTCAGAAAGATTTTGGTGCCCAGCCTATTTCAGAGGGAGTTTGGCACCTAAATGCCTTCGAGGAGCCAAGCCGAGTTAGCTGAGGAAAATGAAAGGGAGACAATTGTAAACAATATTTGTAGGTAATTGGGAGGTCACTTTACCCATCGTTATTTCAGCCTTTTTCGATGTAATAAATTTAACTTTGGCTGCTACAAAAAAAAGGCAATTGGTGATCTTTTTATAATATAGGCATATTTAAATAATAATAGTATCAACAAATAAGAAAAGTCTAAATATCAAGCATAAATATCAAGGAACTCATCAAAGTAGTACAGTAGTTGAAAATGACCCCAGGCTGTAGCCGTTCTATTAAAAAAAAAAAAAGTCCAAGAGAAAAAGTTAAATTATCTCATTGAAAAGGGGCTGATTCTTTCAGCTGACAAAGCAAGAAGAAAGCAAGCATGATTAAAACAAAATAAAAAAATTTAAATCTTTTTTTTTGCAATTTATAAGGTGCCAAGAGAAATAAAACAACTTAGATGCAAAGCAGGATGAGTTGCATCCTAAAAAAATCCCAACAACAAACAAACAGAAAATAACAGCAATAAAAAAAAATCCATACTCTTTGGAATATACAACATGGTTAAAAAAAAAAAGAAAAAGAAAGAATAAAGTTCAACATATAAAACCTCTCATTCACAGCATTGCTAAAACAGAAGCGTTCACAGTTTCCCTCTGGGAATCTTCCTATACTTCCTTACAGTTTTATGTCCATAAGATGCAGTAAACTCACTAAGATTTTGTTAGGTTTTACATCTTAAAAATAGAAGTGAACTGAAACTCTCTTTAGGGCTGTGGAGACCTTCAAACCCAGGGATGTTTGGAAGTCACAGGCCTGAGCACAGACCTGTGGGTATGTGTCTACCCACCCTCCAGACCACCAACTTAAACGTCCTCCTTTCCAGAAGTTCAGCCCTCCGCGAGCGCTACGCAGGGGGGACGACGTTACTCCACCGGCCACGCAGCGCGCTGGCTCGTACGTGCATCGTCCCTGGGAGCACTGACTTCTGGATAGTTTGCTTCTGAAAGCGATGTATGAACACGGCAGGGCCCACAAGCAAGACAGGTGTTTTACAGGATACTTATGGGCACTGGTAAATAGAAAGCACGTTAGTCCTGGCCCATAAACACTTAAGATTCCCTCAATACGGTCGCCATACCGCTTCCTCTAGCCTTGCTGTGGTACCCATGTTAGTAGGGGAGTTGCTGTGGCTCCCTTCCGCCTCGACCACGTCGCTTTGGTTCGGCAGGTTGGGGTTGAGGAGCGTCGATCCCGTGGAGGCGTTGGTGCAAGGCGGGTGGATGCGCGGCGGGGACCGGTCTCCCCCGGAGATCATGGAGAACTGATACGAGCCGGCGGAGGTCCCGTAATAGAGGTGGTAAGAAGGCGAGCTGGTCTGAAACGGGCTGCCCTGGGCCTGAGATGAACCAGGGTAGGGAGGCGGCAGATACGTGTGGTATCTTGTGGCCGTGGACATGGCAGACATGCCGATTCCTATCCCTGAACTGACTGGCGTTGGAGTGTAGGTGAATGCTCCGGGGTAGTGCATCCGAGGGTCAGAAATGGAGGGAAGTGCGGAGAATGAGCGGTCAATTCCTACCCTGGGGTCACTGAACGCAGTCAAGTCTGAAGCACCTGGGTTGTAGAGAAGGAAAACAGCAAATGTGAACAGAAATGTCAGAACAGAATTCCACCTTTTCAAGGCAATAAACAGCATCCAATGAATCGAAGGAGTGCTGTCATTGAAAGAGCTGCCCTGCCTGATCTCTGACAAAACCATTGCAACACTTGTGTATCTGGATGTTTCAGATTCACTTCAGTAAAGCGGCAATTAAAAAGGAGTGCCAAGCTCTCATCCCCATTTTGCCCACATGTGTGTTTGCTCTTGCAGACCTTACAGCACATGTAAGTTTTTACACTTCTAGCATGTCCTCATGCGCCGTGATGGAGTGGTGAAATGAGGACAAAGATCTCAAGTTCCTTGCTCGAAATCATGTGCCTCACCAGTGACAGTGATGGGACTTCAATATAAGCTGTGCAGGTTCTGCATTTTCTCTCCTTGCAACCAATTTTGATTTACCTTTCAGGTGTCCTGACAGGCTTACACACAGAGCTGTTAGTATGTGGACTCTCAATACTACCGAAGTCAAGATTAATCAAGTTCATTTAAGGACTTCAAATCTGAGTCTTCATACAATGTCTACACGATCACTACAGACTTCTGAAAATGTTTGCTCTAATTAGCATATAAAAATGACAACAATCACAATACATTTCTAAAACAGAACAGCATATTTGGGGAGGGTCTTTTTTTTTTTCCTTTTTTTTTTCTCATTTGTACTGGAAACCGACCTCATACAGCTAAGCCAAATGTTTTCTAGGATGTTTGACACTGGTAAAAGTACACCCAGTTCCCCCATTTCCTTCCCTGGTGTGTGGGGATTGAAACGAGCAGAGCAGCTAATGGCCTCTTAGAAAGGATCTTCATCATCACTCAGATTAATGGAAGGTGTCAGGCCTTAGGTTTGGCAGCTTCCGTGTGATTAAAATAACAACAATAATAATTAAGAAAAAATGTTTCCAGAAGTCAACTTCTCCTGTCAGACAAGGCGTGGAGTCTGCAGAAGAGGAGCCGTGTGCTGAAGGAAATACTCGTGAGAAGAAGCAGAGAGAAAACAAAGCTTTTGGCTCTGACCAGATTCAAAGCTAAAGCAGACACACTGCAGTGCCAGGTCCTGAAAGCTCATCAACCACACAGCCACAACACTGATGACTTTCTACACATTTCACAGAGAAGCTCTAACACATGCTGTACATTTGGGGTTGAGTTTCTGTTTTTTTTTTTTTTTTAATTTCTCGAGATCTGCGAGATCAATGGGACCCTGAACACCCTTCCTTGCCCTCGGCCCTGGCACTTTTAGATTTAACAAGATGTCCCCTGTGCTGTGCAATGGCAGGAGCTTCAGAGGGGCTAAGGTTGAAGGTGGCACCTGATAACCTGTGAGAATTCAAGTGATCCTTCCACACCTCCTTCCTGAGGAAGCAAGCAAGCTCACTGGAGCTGCCTGAACACATCGGGGTTTCTTCCGCTCAGTTTGACAAAAAGCAGAATAACAAAACTTAACACAAAGGTGTTTCAAGTATGTCCCATATGCTTGCTTCCTCTTTTGAAGCACTGTATCTTTTAGATATTTGGGCCCATAAACTTCAAACTTAGCATTTACTTTGATAAGGAAAAATGCCTCAGGCAGCATGTGTATGTGATAGTAACAGGACTGGAGAGAAAGTATTGCAGTACTCTATGACTTTTAAAATAGAAGCAATATTTCAGAGGCCTTGTAAAACACTTAAAACGTGTAGCTATGAGCTTCCACGTACAGAATTCAGGCAGGAGAAGAAATAACACTGACACGTGAAAGCACCTTTTCTTGGTTCCTTCAAGACTCCTGGAGGAACGATGCCTGCCCCAAGGGGAATGCCGCTGCCCAGGGCACATAAAGCAGGAAGGTGCCCCCGTGTCTCTCGTCAGCCAGCGTGCTCCTCGGGCAGGCACCGCGCTGGTGGCTGCACCGCACGGGCACAGGAAGGGTCCCAAGTCACAGGGAGGACGCCCGGGCGCTGCGGCCACACCAAGATCTGAAAATAGTCCTAAAGCAGCTGTGCAGAGTGATGAGGTCAGTGCTGGGGTTCTCATTGAGGTGAGGATCGAGTGACTCGGGCATGCAGGGTATGGTTCTGCTTCAGTGCAATTGGAAGAGATTTTCCTCTCGGTGATCAGTGCTCATTTTGTGTGGAACCACCTCAGCACAAAACTGGCACAGTCTGAATAACACCTCCCTTCACTGTGAATTCACCCGCTCCCCTGCCCTGCACACGCTCGCTCACACGCACAAATACACGCAGATCTGGCGGCCCTGTGTTCCCTCTGAAAATCAAAGCAGTTCACACCCACTTAGATTTCAAATAATTCTGTGATCAAAAATGACTTTTAGAAATAAACACCTTAATGACACAATTTGTTCTACTACTTGAAATCTTCTGGCTGCTAGGAAGATTTTTTTTTTCTTTCTTGGTTTTCTTCATTTCTGCATTTTGCCAGTGGAAAGGAGTACAAGAGGAAAGAAACACTGCAGGAAAAGTAAAAAAGGACTCTTTTGATTTGAAAAAATATTAGCACCTCAATGAAAAAAAAGATGATGTTAGATTTTTTTAAAAACTTTTTTCTTTTTTTTCTTTTTTTTTTTTTTTGCAGAGAGGCTTCCTGCTTTTTCAGATAGCTCTATGATATAATTAGCACAGAGGCCTAACAAATAACTTGCTTTTGGTGGGCATCCTCCATGTGACTTTTTCAAAGCAGTTCTCTCTGACAACAACAGGACAGGCTGGAGCACATTCAAGTCATTCCCTTTGATCTCAGAAGCCGTCCTGAGTATTCAAATGAGAGCAATATGTGCACTCAAATGAGATATTTTTCAAAAATCTGTGTGTGAATTTGAATTAC